AACTGTCACTCCTTTATTTTGGGGAAAAGCAGTAGTATTCGTCATTCTAAATCTCCGTTCACTCTCCCTCTCTCGGTTGATTGTCTTACATGTGACAGAGCCTTTTCGAGAGGAACTCCCACTCCCAGTGGCGCCCTCGCAAAAGCCGCGCCCCTACTTGCCTGCAAGCTTCGCCTTGGCCATTTTGCCGATGTCATTCACGCCGGGGGTGTTCGCCTCGTGGTAGCCCCGCAGGCCGTTCTTGCAGCGCGCCAGCCACGCCGTCACGTTCCTGTGCTTGCTCAGGTCGATGCCGCTCACCTCGAAGGTGGACACGGAGGCGACCAGGACGAAGTCGGCCACGGTGACGCTGTTGCCGACGGCCCAGTCGTGGCCGGCCAGGAACCCGTCGAGCCAGCCCAGGGCTTCGTGCAGCTTCTCCAGTTTCGCCGGGTCGAGCTTCTCTTGCCCGAAGAACATCACGGGATACTGGAGGGGGGCGGGGGGGGGGGGCAGAGCAGTCAGTTATGTGTTTATCATACATTTTTATCGCCGATTTTTTTTCTTCTTTAATTATATGAATATGGTACACAAGCATGAATACTTATCATTTGCAAAACAGTGCAATAAATAGGAAGTATCTTTTGAAATCATAATAATAATAACAATAGAAAAAATAACTGTAAAGCGAATAAACGAAAAAAAATGCATGAAAGCAAGAATCAGAGGAACCACTCACCACATATTCGCCGAAGCGGAAATACAACCTATCCATGTCGAAGTAGAGGAGGCGGTCGACGAGGGCGCGCGTCTTCGGGTCGGACGGGTAGAGGGAGTCGTCCTTGCCGTATTTGGATGCCAGGTAGGTGCAGATGGCGCGGCTGGAGACATAAGGATTGCAATTTTGGTTTTTAAGAGAGCTGTGTTACTTCCATGATATTTTGGGCTATTTGATATGGCAAAGGGAAGATCTAGGATTAGTGTGGGTCAGGAAAGTCTCTGTGATGTTGAACCTTCTTGTGTATCCACTATGCGTTTAGACACCCTTTCGAAAACGTCTGAGATCAGAGACACGAGACCCGAACAACAGCGCCTCTCACACACGTACCTCTCCCACAGCTTCAGGTCCCCGTCGACCAAGGTGGGGATGCAGTGCTGGGGATTGATAGCCACGAACTCGGGCTTCATGTGCTCTCCCGCCGTCAGGTCGAGCAGCTTCAGGTTGAGATCGACGCCCACTGCCTTGGCCGTCAGCATTACCGACCGGCAGGGAGCCGACATGGGCATGTAGTATAGGTCTATGGGCATCTTGGTTCTGCGAGGAGACAGAGAAAAATGATAAGGTACATTGCTGTGGTGACAGATAGATGAGAAGTAAAAGATTGTTGCAGACGCGGCCGCAACACGCTAAACTCTTTCCTACTCTCATCTCGACACGCATTCCAAGATGAAACTAAATAGTTAAACAAACGATAACATATGCTAACAATCTCTTGGAAGAGCTGACCTTAAAGATCATAAAATTTAGCACCATTGTACTTAATAAACAGCGTAATGTATCACAACTTACTTTCTGTTGGGCTGCGTCCTTCTCGCTTGAAAGCCGAGGTGCGTCTGTGCACTAAAGAGTTGATAATGCTTCCTCTTGTCTTTTATCTTTAGTTTTAACCGTCACGGTTACTTTGCAATACATCTTACAATGAGCTTGTTAAAAAAAAGAAAAAAAGGATAATTGTATCTTATCCTAATAAAAAATGTTAACGAACCCGTTGTGGTAATATTTAATGCTGGAAAAATCAGTTATTAAAATCACATACAAATACCACTGAAATATCACAACCTGATTATAAACAAATATGTGCGAGTGTTTGATATTAATATTTATGTTCAGTGTTACTAATCTGCTTTTGCTTCAAGTATGAATAACACAACTTTTGTGGAATGTTCATTTGGCCTTTAGGGGACCGTCTTGGGAAATGCCTACCTTGCTCTACTCATTTCAAAAAGAAAATGGTTAGGGATAAGTAATAGAGTTTGTTTTTTCTTTTTTTGCGATATAGATTATATAATTGCGCTTTGTATCACATATTTAATCCCACATTCCATAAGTAAGGATCCCCCAAAAGACGAATTTTGTATATTTATTTATTTATTTTAGCCGTCCGCTGTACCGTCCGCTGGTCGTGATTTTCTCTGATATACTTTTAAAATATTTTTGCCTTAGATCTACCTTAGATTTTTTTTTTAATTCTTTTTATTTCTTTTAATCGCTTAATTTGCGGACTGGTTGACATAGTTACCACTTTTAGGGGGGTATTTTTTCCAGTTTTACGGAATTTACATTTAGCATTCTATTTCCGAAATTCAAAAACCGGTCCTTGATTTGCCATGCGCACTCCGATGCTCCAGCGAAAGCAACATTACGAAGCTGTCGTATCTGAGTTGCTGGAGAAGTTCGAACGCTGACCGGTGCCGAACCGAATGTAAACAAAGAACTGGGAAAACGCCGTTGGAAATCTGGACACTTGGCAAATTTCGTTATTTCTTCTTTTTCAGGAAATCTAATAATGGTATATATATATTAAAAATCTGGACACGGCAAAGTTCGTTATATCTTCTTTTTCAGGAAATCTAATAATGGTATATATATATTAAAAATCTGGACACTTGGCAAATTTCGTTATATCTTCTTTTAAGGAAATCTAATAATGGTATATATATATATATTTAAAGAAAAACTGATTTATTGCACTGAAAGTACATACTCTTGTCTGAAACGTTTAGTAAATGTACTGAATCACAAAGACAATAACTTAAAACTACTTTTTTTCTAAAGGTAAATCCGATTGTGAAGAACTACTGACTGTAGAGGACAATATTGGTACAAAATTATTATACTTATGTAGTCCTAACATACATAGAACATGTCGGTCCAATTTTGAGAATTATAATAGGATATGTTTGAATTAAAATGAAAGGCGAGATTTACAGCTGTTGATTTTTTCCCACGCTCCAAACTGGGGGTAGGAGGGGGGGGGAGATGGTCCCTTGGTGGATATAATATTCGGGTTTATATGTATTTAATCACACGAACATTAGGTTAACCATTTTAATTATCCTCATGTAATAGGCCTACATCCATTTGTATGCAAAAGAATAGTATTAGTTATCCATATCAAATCGTTTTTCTTTAACATTTTTTTTCAATAATAAAAGCCCTTGAGTATAGAGTTGGTGTTCAGTCATTTGCACTTATTACCTCTGCTTAAAAGTGCTTTAAATTCATCAGACAGACAGGTATGGTTAGGTATATATTTTTTTAATGGCACCTACGGCCTATGGTAATGTTTGCATGTTATGGAAAGGATGCGATAGCTGTTTCAATTCTATGCGAAGACCGTGCCAAAGATCCGAGTTTAAAATTCTATCTATTTTTTATTCTAGAGTGAGAATCATTGTGTAATGTCAAGCTCAACATAAAACAATCGATATGTCGCTTATACTTCCGTGTTCAACCTAATACCAATGAAAAATGAATAAAAGAATGAGAATTACTGAAACACTATACATGCACCCTTACTACTACCACCGAATTATGAATGAAAAAAAATCTATCTATCTATCTATAAATGGAAAATAAACGTCCATTTTCTGTTTGTACTGTGCCTGTTTTCATTTTCATTTTTGTGTACACGTTTGTGCTTGTATTACGTATGTATGTATATACACGCTCACATAAATTCTCATACATTTAATTCCACAAGGTATTCGCCGCTAACGGCCTTATCTGCTGAGGCGGCAGATAATTTTGAATAATTGATTCATTGATCACATTGAGAAAAGAATATTACTGATGTGTCAGAAATACCGCTCACTAGATATTAGAACTTTTTTCAATCCGTAGATAAGCGCATTAGTTCCCATTAGCCTCAACCGAAGCCGAAACAAAGGCTTGGACTGATAAGATACGAACACGTGAATGCTTTTAACGGATCAGTGACAAATATTTCTCGAAATATTTCTCGAAATATTTGGCTGGACAGTTGAAGTTCGTATCGTATTTCTGCTGCCAAAGCGACTAAGCTGTGTGGTTGAAGTTGATGTGAATGAAAACAAGCATTTGATCAATGATTCAGTTCAAAGTTTATGGTCAAGGTCAGATAAGGTTAGGACATTAAAGATACGGTAACGGTCACCTTTATTTTGGTAAAGAGAGCGCTAGATTCCAGCAGATCTTGTAACGAACATATTTTGGGCAAAGTACAACAGAGGAAATATAATAGTATAATGAGCTCCACCATCCATTCTTTAATCTTCACTTCTGTTTCATTAAGTGCACAGCTGTTAACGATGCATTTCTTTTTGTTATGCTAAATCTCCGTTCATTCTTCCTCTCTTGTCTAGCTATTTGGTTGATTAAGTTCTACACGTGATAGAGCCTTTCCGAGCAGAGGAACCCCCGCGCCCGAGACCGCCCTCGCAGACGCCGCGCCCCTACTTGCCCACCAGCTTCTTGGCTATCTTGGCGATGTCATTCACGCCGGGGGTGTTCGCCTCGTGGTAGCCCCGCAGGCCGTTCTTGCAGCGCGCCAGCCACGCCGTCACGTTCCTGTGCTTGCTCAGGTCGATGCCGCTCACCTCGAAGGTGGACACGGAGGCGACCAGGACGAAGTCGGCTACGGTGACGCTGTTGCCGACGGCCCAGTCGTGGCCGGCCAGGAACCCGTCGAGCCAGCCCAGGGCTTCGTGCAGCTTCTCCAGCTTCGTCGGGTCGACCTTCTCTTGCCCGAAGAACATCACGGGATACTGGAGGGGGGGGGGGGATATTAGGAAATTAATAATGGAGGCTGAATATCAGTATGTTTTAAATGAAGAAATGGAAGGAAATAGTAATGATATTGGTGAGATGATACTAATTTCAATGACAACAATACAATACTACTGTAATGAACATGATAATAATAATAATTGGTAATGATAATAATAGACAAGAAAAAAAAATGATGATAATGATGATCGTAATAATAATAATGATAACAATAATAACAATGATTATAGCATACATATATGGCATGTATATAAATCCATGTTGTCCTAGATCACGCGGCATCCATGTTGTCCGTGTGCGTCTGAAATTGGCCAGGACTTATGCTTCGTCTGCGAGGGTTTCCACCGGCCGTATAAAATGGCACGTTGTAACCCCTTCTTTATTACACTTATTTGCTTCAGTTTCAGGTAGTTAGCTGCCCTTAGCCTTTCTTCCTCTCCTTACACTAAGGAATCCTCCTCCTTCAGCTTATTATTACTCGCCCGTCAGAGAGGTCAGAAGCAGACAGAGCAGGGCCTCTCCACGTAATAACCTAACCCAACCTAATCTAACTAACTAACCTAACCTAACCTAACCTAACCTAACCTAACCTAACTAACTAAACCTAACCTAACCTAACCTAACCTAACCTAACTAACCTAACCTAACCTAACCTAACCAACCCAGCCTAACCTAACCAACCTAACCCAACCTAACCTAACCCAACCTAACCCAACCAACCTAACCTAACCTAAACCAACCTAACCTAACCTAACCTAAACCAACCTAACCTAACCCAACCTAACCTAACCTAACCTAACCCAACCTAACCTAACCCAACCCAACCTAACCCAACCTAACCTAACCTAACCAACCTAACCTAACCTAACCTAACCTAACCCAACCTAACCTAACCCAACCTAACCTAACCTAACCCAACCTAACCTAACCAACCTAACCCTAACCTAACCTAACCTAACCCAACCTAACCTAACCCAACCCAACTAACCTAACCTAACCCAACCAACCTAACCTAACCCAACCTAACCTAACCTAACCTAACCCAACCTAACCCAACCTAACCTAACCTAACCTAACCCAACCTAACCCTAACCTAACCTAACCCAACCTAACCTAACCCAACTAACCTAACCTAACCCAACCTAACCTAACCCAACCTAACCTAACCAACCTAACCTAACCTAACCCAACCCAACCTAACCTAACCCAACCTAACCTAACCTAACCTAACCCAACCTAACCCAATAACCTAACCAACCTAACCCAACCCAACCTAACCTAACCTACCTAACCTAACCCAACCTAACCTAACCCAACCTAACCTAACCTAAACCCAACCTAACCTAACCCAACCTAACCTAACCCAACCTAACCAACCTAACCCAACCTAACTAACCTAACCTAACCCAACCAACCTAACCCAACTACCTAACCTAACCCAACCTAACCTAACCTAACCTAACCTAACCTAACCCAACCTACCTAACCTAACCTAACCTAACCCAACCTAACCTAACCCAACCTAACCTAACCTAACCCAACCTAACCCAACCTAACCTAACCTAACCCAACCTAACCTAACCTAACCCAACCTAACCTAACCTAACCCAACCTAACCTAACCTAACCCAACCTAACCTAACCTAACCCAACCTAACCTAACCCAACCTAACCTAACCTAACCCAACCCAACCTAACCTAACCCAACCAACCTAACCTAACCCAACCCAACCTAACCCAACCTACCTAACCTAACCCAACCTACCCTAACCTAACCCAACCTACCCTAACCTAACCCAACCCAACCTAACTTTTTATATTATTTATGATAAGGATAATGATCGTAAAAATGACAATGATGGTAATGATAACAATAATAATAGTAATACGAATAATAATAATAATAATAAAATAGTAAGAAGAAGAAGAAGAAGAAGAAATAGCGATAATGATTAATAACAACATCAAGAGAGGATAATAACTGAAACAAGAGTGAGTAACCGAAGAAAATGAGTAAAGCAAGATTCAGAGGAACCGCTCACCGCATACTCTCCGTATCTCTGGTAGAGCGTTCCATGTCGAAGTAGAGGAGGCGGTCGACGAGGGCGCGCGTCTTCGGTCGGACGGGTAGAGGGAGTCGTCCTTGGCGTATTTGGATGCCAGGTAGGTGCAGATGGCGCGGCTGGAGACATAAGGATTGTAATTGTGGTTGTTCAAGGAGGTGTGGTACTTGAGTGATATTTTTGGGGATTATTTGTGTCAGTGGGAGGATTTTTTTGGTTAGTTTGGGTCCCGTGTTTTGGATGGAGTGATGGGGACACCTAAAGAAGCTGTTCTGTGGGGCTATCATAACTTTGTGAAGAGGAGTCAGCTTACATGATTTAACGGCAGATATAGCATAAATATTTGCTCGGGAAAGTCTCTGCTACGTTAAGCACTACTGTGAAATCCATTGTGAGTGTAGAAACCATTACGAAAACGCCTATCAAAGCCACAAGACAAGAACAACAGCGCTTCTCACACACGTACCTCTCCCACAGCTTCAGGTCCCCGTCGACCATGGTAGGAACGCTGTGCTGGGGATTGATGGCCACGAAATCGGGCTTCATCTGCTCTTTCGTCATGAGGTCGAGCAGCTTCAGGTTGAGATCGACGCCCACTGCCTTGGCCGTCAGCAGTACCGACCGGCAGGGAGGTGACAGAGGCATGTAGTATAGGTCTATGGGCATCTTGGCTCTGCGAGGAGACAGAGAAAATGATTATATGCTATATGTTCGGCTGAGTGTCATTCTTGGCGATAGGTAGATGAGAGATTAATAAGAAATATACGAAGAAATTGAAAGAATTAATAATCATGATGATGGTGACAATGATAAGATCAATTATAATAGCAATGCTACTAATAACGATAATGTTGATAATGACAATAATAATAATAATAATAGCAATGGTGATGATACTTATAATAATAATGATAATAACAATGATAATAATGATCATAATAGTATTGATAATGGTAATGATGATTATAATTACATGTTTTTTATTTGGCTAAATGTCATTGTTGGTGAGACAGATAGTCGATAGACAGATGAGAAAGATTTTTGCAATGCAATTTCCAGTCACGAATCCCTAAACACACAAAACTCTTCCCTACTTTTATCACCTCGACGCTCATTCCAAAATAAAAAAAAATATATATAAAAGATATTCCAAGATAAAAGATAAATAAACGACACCAATCCACAATCTCTTAGAATATCTGACATTAAATAGAATCAGTTTTAGCAGCGTTATACTTGCTAAACAGAACAGTATCTCAGCTTACTTTATTCTGGTCTGCGTCCTCCTCGTTGGTAAGCTGAGCTGCCTCTGTTCGGGCAGGTGATGATAACGCCTCCTCGTGTCTTTTATCTTTAGTTTTAACCGTCACGCTTAGTTTACATCACATCTCACGCTGAGTTTGCAACTCCTTAAAGAGAAAGAAAACGAGAAATATATAATTTGTCTTATAAAAAAAATGATAACGACATTAGTGATTGTAATATTTCAAGTTGGTAAGATAAATTATTGTAATATCTCCCCCGATTCCTTGTTCGTTGTTGTTAGAATGGGGGTGGGGGGTGGGGGGGGGGTAAAGGATCACCCCAACCTTGGACCTCAGCCTTCGCTTCAACTAATTTTGCACGGTCTTTCCTTCTCCCCCTTTCCTTTTCCTTCTCTTCTTCATGCCTTCTTCTGTCCACTTTCTAAGGCGTGAGAGCCGTGCTTGAAAGGGTGAAAGGCTGGCTCTGTGTCAGTCCTGAACGGCATTCGTCCTCCGTTTGCTCTTCCCTCTTTGCCCTTTTCACTACCTTACTAACCCCCTTTCTTCCTTCCTCCCTCCCATTCCCCTCCCTTTCCTTCCTTTCTTTCTTTCTTTCTTCCTTCCTCCTTCCTTCCTTCCTTCCTTCCTTCCTTTCCTTCCTTCCTCCCTCCTCCCATCCCCTCCCTTTCCTTCCTTCCTTCCCCCCTCCATCCCCTCCCTTTCCTTCTTTCCTCCCTCCTTCGCTCCCACTCCCCTCCCTTCTTTCCTTCCTTCCTTCCTTCCTTCCCTCCTCCCTTCTTCCCATTCCCTCCCTTTCCTTCCTCCCTGTCTCCCTCCCATCCCCTCCCTTTCCTTCCCTCCCTGTCTCCCTCCCATCCCCTTCCCTTTCCTTCCTTCCTTCCTCCCTCCCCCTCCCTCCCTCCCTCCCTCCTCCCTCCCCCCTCCCTCCTCCCTTCCTCCTCCCTTTCTTCCTTCCTCCCTCCCAACCCCTCCCTCCCTCCCCCTCCCTCCCTCCCTCCCTCCCTCCTCCCTCCCTCCTCCCTCCTCTCCCATCCCCTCCCTCCCTCCCTCCCATCCCCCTCCTCCTCCCTCCCATCCCCTCCTCCCCCCTCCCATCCCCCTCCCTTAACCATTCCCTTTCCCTCCCACCAACTTTACAAACTTTGAGATCTAAACACATTTTGTCCTAATATTCAAGTAATTTTTACCTTTTTCGTCACAATAATTTATCCAGTGCCGTTTGACTTTTGATGTCTGTCACAATTTATTTGTTTTGAATATTAATCCTGGGAATCCACAAACCGCCTTATAAACCCCCTCCCCCTCAAAAAATAAAGAATAATAATAATAAATAAATAAATAAATACACAAATAAATGAATAAATAAGATAAATACAAAAATAAATAAATAAAATAAAGATGAATACAAAAATAAATAATAAATAAAAAATAGATACAAAAATAAATAGATAAAATAAATAAATAAAAGGAAAAAATAAAAGTTGAAATAGGACAATTAACCTGATTATAAACCATTTACTTTCAGAATTACCATAACTTCAATATTCTTGAGATATCTATTTTAAGGCACTTCTCACTGAAACCAAAGCGTCACCGCAAAAAATATGAAATTACATATCTCAAAGGTTTTCATGTTATCTGATCTACGCGCATTTTGTTATCTTTTTTGATAGTATAACGTAAGATAAGCGACCGGTTTGTTAGAATTATGTGAGACCCGACCTTATGAACATTCATTCATTCAGACATGCATATACACTGAAGTAAATGCATGTCTATCTGTCTAGACATGCTTATCTACCGTATGGATAGATGGATAGATGTGTATATATATCTGATAGATAGAGAGGTATTAATTTATCTCTGTGTATATCCGTGTCTGTATATCGATGTTCTCCTCTTTATCTCTCTCTTTCTCTCTCTATCTCCCTTCTCTCTCTTTCTCTCTCTCCCTCTATCTCTCTCTCTATCTCTCTCTCTCTCTCTCTCTATCTCCCTTCTCTCTCTTTCTCTCTCTATCTCCCTTTCTCTATATATATCTATAGAAAGAGAGAGATAGCTCTCTATCTCCCTTTCTCTCTCATTTTCTCTCCCTTTCTCTCTTTCTCTCTCTATCTCCCTTTCTCTCTTTCTCCTTTTCTCTCTTTCTCTCTCTTTCTCTTTCTTTCCCTTGTATGCCTTGCATTACTTTAGCAAACCGGCCGAAGGATTGTGCTGTCAAACAAACAAACAAACAAACAAACAAACAAAACAAACAACAAACACAATGATCAGTGAAGATAAAGAAACGGCAAAACGAGAACAAAATACGAAAATGTATTAAAGAGAAAATAGAAGAAATATAAGACACAAGAGAGAGAGATAAAGGAAGCCACCGACTGTTGATAAGAATGAATTAGTTATCGTTAACAATTCTATCGATTCACAATGACAAAGAAAACGTGACATTGTAATTTCACTCGATCACGTGACCTTGGCATAGTGATAAGGATGATGACTGGATTAAATAACTTTTATTCTTGTGATGATCATGAGAATTACAATCATTATTGATGCTATTAATACCGTATCCGATGATTGTATTGGTTATATAAAATGAACATTGACAATAACAATATAATTATCCATTACAGCATTGACTTCATCAAACAATAAAATAAAAATTCAAATCAATATGAATTACATTGTTTATTATTTCCAATATGTTGACTGTAAAATTTAATTAAAAAATATAAGGCAAAGAAAATTATCTGCGCCTATTCTCAAAGCAGTCATATCCACATATTTCATTATTTATTAATTTACTCATGTATTTCTCCCTTTATTACCATTATCATTTATTCAATTATCTATTATCATTATCATTTATTTATCTATTCATTATCATATTTTTTTTTGTAAAAGGATCCACGTGGTTTTGAAGTCTTGTGAGAAGTTGAATGTGGCAGACAGGAATTTTTTTTTGTGCTCGCGGATACATGAACTAATTTTAGACTGTCCCGGTTGCAAGCAGTGAGTGAAAGTAAGGGAGGTGTTTGGTACATTATTGTTCTCTCTCTCTCTCTCTCTTCTCTCTCTCTCTCCCTCTATTTCTCTTTTTCTCTCTCTCCTCTATTCTCTCTTTCCTTTCTCTTTTGCTCTCTCTCTCTTCTCTCTCTCTCCTCTCTCTCTCTCTTCCTCTCTCTGTCTCTCTCTCTCTCATTCTCTTCTCTCTCTCGTCTTCTCTCTCTCTCTCTCTCTCTCTCTCTCTCTCTCTCTCTCTCTCTCTCTCTCTCTCTCTCTCTCTCTCTCTCTCTCCCTCCCTCCCTCCTCCCGCCTCTCTCTCTCTCTCTCTCTCTCNTGTGTGTGTATGTATGTATAAATAAATAAATGAATAAATAAATATTATATTATATATATATTATATATATATATATATATATATATATATATATATATATATATATATAATATATATACAGAGAGAGAGAGAGATGTATATGTTGTGTGTGTATATAAATAAATAAATGAATAAATAAATAAATATATATACACATATATATATATATATATAATATATATATATATATATATATTATATATATATTATATATATATATATATGTTATATATATGTATATATCTGTGTGTGTGTGTGTGTGTGTGTGTGTGTGTGTGTGTGTGTGTGTGTGTGTGTGTGTGCGCGTGTGTGTGTGTGTGTGTGTGTGTGTGTGTGTGTGGTGTGTGTGTGTGTGTGTGTGTGTGTGTGTGTGTGTGTGTGTGTGTGTGTGTGTGTGTGTGTGTGTGTGTGTGTGTGCCTTTAACGGGCCAATCGTAAGTTCGTGCGTGCGTGCGTGCGTGCGTGCGCGTGTGTGGACAATGTGTATACGTGTATGTATCCATATGATGTATCTGTCCATATCTATTATATCTGTCCCAATACATCTTTCTGTCCTTCTATCTACCTGTCTATTTGTTTATATCTCGCACGCCCTTAGTGCTAATTTATTAACTAAATTAATCAGTTGACAAAGGGAAATCAATTCTCAGTGATGCATATCAGTGTTAACACTTAATTAACAGAGTGTAAAAAATCATTAGTTCAGATGATTGGGAATATTTGTGGCATATTTTTTTTATAATTCCACAGAGACATTTTTAGCGAGCGTGTATCGAAATCGCACAGACCCGCATTTGCAGGCAAATTCAGACATACACACATAAAAAGAAACATTTGACAGATGGGCACGTCTAGACTTTACATAGTAGTCAGTATCATTTGTGAGGGTGATCTGTGTCATTTCTTTCCCTACATTTTGGCCATAATTCGTTATGTTTATGGGTTGCCTTGTATGTGCATCCGATTTTACGGCTTAGCCAGAACCCGCAGATTATGTTTCGGAATTCTTAATCCAGAAATCCAATTCCTAGACTTATTTTCTGCTGCGCATCACACTGGCAATGATAATGACACTTGCCTCCAGAAATCAGTCAAAGCCCCCAGTTCTGTGACCAACCCTCCCTTGAACTTTCCTTACACTCTGTTAGTAACTTTTTGTGTAGCACTGTACACCAGGAATTTAAGCTTTTAAAGAATAAGATTAATAACCGTAAACGAAAACATAACGCCAAGCTCTGCGGATTTTTTTTTTTTTTTTTTTTTTTTTTTTTAAGAATTACCATTAGCTATCACTTATTCTGGAGAATTTCACGTGTTTCGGTTTCAAGGCATAGTAAGACATGCAGGGTAATATTCAAAGTTAAAAAGTACATTCAGTGAGATTTATAGAAACTGGTCAATGAAAGAAACCGATAATTGAAAGTTATATTGTTTGTGATCCCAACCCAGGTCCATATTCAACTTTTGCTACAGAATAAGACAACAAACGAGTAATACACTGACAGGTTCACTATCTCTCTCTCTCTCTCTCTCTCTCTCTCTCTCTCTCTCTCTCTCTCTCTCTCTCTCTCTCTCTCTCTCTCTCTCTCCTCTCTTCTCTCTCTCTCGCTAATACTATCTTCCTAACTCTCCCTCTCTCTGCCTCTCTCTAATTCTCTCTTTCCCTATTTAGTATATATTGTTTGCTTTTGTTATTTGTCGATGTT